TTTTGTCCACTTTTTTTTTTTTTTTTTTTAAACCAAAGTCACTCCACCCGTTTACCAAGAAATTTTAGAGCACTTCATACTTCCTTCTACTGACCAGATTTTTGGAGATGCTGATTTCATTTTACAGCAGGATTTGGCACCTGCCCACACTGCCAAAAGCACCAAAAGTCAGTTAAAAGACCATGGTGTCGGTGTGCCTCACTGGCCAGCAAACTCACCAGACCTGAACCCCATAGAGAATCTATGGGGTATTGTCAAGAGGAAAATGAGAGACCAAAAAAATGCAGATGAGCTGAAGGCCACTGTCAAAGAAACCAGGGCTTCCATACCACCTCAGCAATGCCACAGACTGATCACCTCCATGCCACGCTGAATTGAGGTAGTAATTAAAGCATTAAATGTGGGCCAAAATCATCACAATTAAAAGACCCAGCGGCTTAAACTACTTCAGTCTATGTGTACTGAATTTATATAACACACGAGTTTCACTATTTGAGTTGAATTACTGAAATAAATGGACTTTTCCATGATATTCTAATTTATTGAGATGCACCTGTAGTCATTTTTTTCTTCACATATGTCTTCAAATCAATAACTTTGCTTTGCTCTCAGCTACACCATAATTGGACCTAACTTCTCATTGTCAGTGACTGATGTGGCGAGAGTGAATCTGATATGGAGCAGGTTCAGTCATGGTTAGTGGTCCTACAGTGCCTTGCGAAAGTATTCGGCCCCCTTGAACTTTGTGACCTTTTACCACATTTCAGGCTTCAAACATAAAGATATAAAACTGTAATTTTTTGTGAAGAATCAACAACAAGTGGGACACAATCATGAAGTGGAATGAAATTTATTGGATATTTCAAACTTTTTTAACAAATAAAAAACTGAAAAATTGGGCGTGCAAAATTATTCAGCCCCCTTAAGTTAATACTTTGTAGCGCCACCTTTTGCTGCGATTACAGCTGTAAGTCGCTTGGGGTATGTCTATCAGTTTTGCACATCGAGAGACTGAAATTTTTGCCCATTCCTCCTTGCAAAACAGCTTGAGCTCAGTGAGGTTGGATGGAGAGCGTTTGTGAACAGCAGTTTTCAGTTCTTTCCACAGATTCTCGATTGGATTCAGGTCTGGACTTTGACTTGGCCATTCTAACACCTGGATATGTTTATTTGTGAACCATTCCATTGTAGATTTTGCTTTATGTTTTGGATCATTGTCTTGTTGGAAGACAAATCTCCGTCCCAGTCTCAGGTCTTTTGCAGACTCCATCAGGTTTCCTTCCAGAATGGTCCTGTATTTGGCTCCATCCATCTTCCCATCAATTTTAACCATCTTCCCTGTCCCTGCTGAAGAAAAGCAGGCCCAAACCATGATGCTGCCACCACCATGTTTGACAGTGGGGATGGTGTGTTCAGGGTGATGAGCTGTGTTGCTTTTACGCCAAACATAACGTTTTGCATTGTTGCCAAAAAGTTTGATTTTGGTTTCATCTGACCAGAGCACCTTCTTCCACATGTTTGGTGTGTCTCCCAGGTGGCTTGTGGCAAACTTTAAACGACACTTTTTATGGCTATCTTTAAGAAATGGCTTTCTTCTTGCCACTCTTCCATAAAGGCCAGATTTGTGCAGTATACGACTGATTGTTGTCCTATGGACAGAGTCTCCCACCTCCGCTGTAGATCTCTGCAGTTCATCCAGAGTGATCATGGGCCTCTTGGCTGCATCTCTGATCAGTCTTCTCCTTGTATGAGCTGAAAGTTTAGAGGGACGGCCAGGTCTTGGTAGATTTGCAGTGGTCTGATACTCCTTTCATTTCAATATTATCGCTTGCACAGTGCTCCTTGGGATGTTTAGCTTGGGAAATCTTTTTGTATCCAAATCCGGCTTTAAACTTCTCCACAACAGTATCTTGGACCTGCCTGGTGTGTTCCTTGTTCTTCATGATGCTCTCTGCGCTTTAAACGGAGCTCTGAGACTATCACAGTGCAGGTGCATTTATATGGAGACTTGATTCCACACAGGTGGATTCTATTTATCATCATTAGTCATTTAGGTCAACATTGGATCATTCAGAGATCCTCACTGAACTTCTGGAGAGAGTTTGCTGCACTGAAAGTAAAGGGGCTGAATAATTTTGCACGCCCAATTTTTCAGTTTTTTATTTGTTAAAAAAGTTTGACATATCCAATAAATTTCATTCCACTTCATGATTGTGTCCCACTTGTTGTTGATTCTTCACAAAAAATTACAGTTTTATATCTTTATGTTTGAAGCCTGAAATGTGGCAAAAGGTCGCAAAGTTCAAGGGGGCCGAATACTTTTGCAAGGCACTGTATTTGGTCAGAACACAATTTTTGCTTCAATTCTCCAAAAGATTTATTATTTCAATTTGTGACTGTATACCACATTTATTAAGGATACAATGACATACATGGAGAAATGAGAGAGGTGCATTTCTCCTAGTGCAGCATAAACATTCAAATGTTCTATGTTTGTGAAGTCTCCTCTCTCACCTGGAGGATGACCAAACTGAGCTGGCACTGCAGTAGGAAGAGGAAGCACTTGCGGATGCCATAGGTTGTGTGTCGTGCCTGGAGCAGATTCACCCAAGGCAAATAAATTATCATATGTAATCTCTCTCTCTCTCTCTCTCTCTCTCTCTCTGACTTAGTGTGTGAAGGCATCTGTGTGTCTAACCTGCTCTATGAGCTTGACCATGCTGACGCTCTCTCCTTGGTGGAAGGTGACAGAACAACCCAGACTGTTGAGCTGTCCGGAAAGCCTCAGTGGAGACAAACCTTCAGCATCTCCATTAAATCCTCCTCCAGTGGCATAGCCAAATGTCTCCCACGAACACTGAGATGGGTACAAAGGGTCCAGAGCGATGCTGTGAAGGAAGGATGAAAAATTATGTGGGCCAATCAGGATTATACTCAAAATGTGAGGTGGTTTGTTTGATTACATAACTACGATACAATCAATCAATACTATATTGTTTGGCAATAGGGCCGTCCCCTGAAAGTAGTCTAGTCAGGTCATTAGTCAAGAGACCCATCAGTTGACTGAGACTATTCTAGTCAAACCTTTTTCCATTTTATTTTTGTCAGCCAGTGTGCATTATATAAAGGAAGACTGCCCGAATCCTGTGGGTTTGTTGTTGTCTTCCCCTTATTTTGGTGTGCCAAGCAGCAATTTGCTCAGTGCGTCCCCCTGTTGTTTGGGTGAAGACCCACTTCAATGGTGACGCTGTCCAATGCATGCTGGTTCACAAAAGGGTTCTCTACCTATGCTCAGAAATATTGTCAGTCATGTATGATTTGTGCAACTAACAATCCAGGTAAAACAACACCACTCACACAACAAGCAGCACAACCTACAGTATTGCTCACAATAATAGCAGTACAATGTGACTAACCAGAATAATCCAGGTTTTTAGTATATTTTTTATTGCTACATGGCAAACAAGTTACCAGTAGGTGCAGTAGATTCTCAGAAAGCAAACAAGACCCAGCATTCATGATATGCACGCTCTTAAGGCTGTGCAATTGGGCAATTAGTTGAAAGGGGTGTGTTAAAAAAATAGCAGTGTGGCATTCAATCAGTGAGGTCATCAATTTTGTGAAATAACAGGTGTGAATCAGGTGGCCCCTATTTAAGGATGAAGCCAGCACTTGTTGAACATGCATTTGAAAGCCTGAGGAAAATGGGTCGTTCAAGACATTGTTCAGAAGAACAGCGTACTTTGATTAAAAAGTTGATTGGAGAGGGGAAAACCTATAAAGAGGTGCAAAAAATTATAGGCTGTTCAGCTAAAATGATCTCCAATGCCTTAAAATGGAGAGCAAAACCAGAGAGACGTGGAAGAAAACGGAAGACAACCATCAAAATGGATCGAAGAATAACCAGAATGGCAAAGGCCCAGCCAATGATCAGCTCCAGGATGATCAAAGACAGTCTGGAGTTACCTGTAAGTACTGTGACAGTTAGAAGACGTCTGTGTGAAGCTAATCTATTTTCAAGAATCCCCCGCAAAGTCCCTCTGTTAAAAAAAAGGCACGTGCAGAAGAGGTTACAATTTGCCAAAGAACACATCAACTGGCCTAAAGAGAAATGGAGGAACATTTTGTGGACTGATGAGAGTAAAATTGTTCTTTTTGGGTCCAAGGGCCACAGACAGTTTGTGAGATGACCCCCAAACTCTGAATTCAAGCCACAGTACACAGTGAAGACAGTGAAGCATGGTGGTGCAAGCATCATGATATGGGCATGTTTCTCCTACTATGGTGTTGGGCCTATTTATCGCATACCAGGGATCATGGATCAGTTTGCATATGTCAAAATACTTGAAGAGGTCATGTTGCCTTATGCTGAAGAGGACATGCCCTTGAAATGGTTGTTTCAACAAGACAATGACCCCAAACACACTAGTAAACGAGCAAAGTCTTGGTTCCAAACCAACAAAATTAATGTTATGGAGTGGCCAGCCCAATCCCCGGACCTTAATCCAATCGAGAACTTGTGGGGTGATATCAAAAATGCTGTTTCTGAAGCAAAACCAAGAAATGTAAATGAATTGTGGAATGTTGTTAAAGAATCATGGAGTGTAATAACAGCTGAAAGGTGCCACAAGTTGGTTGACTCCATGCCACACAGATGTGAAGCAGTTATAACAAACTGTGGTCATACAACTAAATATTAGTTTAGTGATTCACAGGATTGCTAAATCCTAGAAACAAAAACGTTTGTACAACATAGTTTTGTGTTTGTACAGTCAACGGCAGACACTGCTATTTTTTTGAACACACCCCTTTCAACTAATTGCCCAATTGCACAGCCTTAAGAGCGTGCATATCATGAATGCTGGGTCTTGTTTGCTTTCTGAGAATCTACTGCACCTACTGGTAACTTGTTTGCCATGTAGCAATAAAAAATATACTAAAAACCTGGATTATTCTGGTTAGTCACATTGTACTGCTATTATTTTGAACAATACTGTATATAAGGTCCGATGGAACTATTTAGGAAACCGCTGCCCAGAACGAGGGGAAAAGACAACAAAATCCACTAGGGCAAGATACATAAAGGTGAGATTTGTACTTTATTGAAAGTGTTTTCAAACACTGAGGAAAACTTTTACAAGAGAGAAGCCTAATTGTCACACCGGTGTGGCAGGTTTTGCATATGTGTGTCCAGGTTATTTACCCATCTCCGTTAAAGTGTATCGCACAGCCATTTACTGACTGTGTCTGACATGCATCCATCTAAACGGCACAAAGAAACTAAAAAAAGTGCGGGGAAAACATTTCAATGAGCAATTATAAACAGCCCATATATCCTTTAGTTGTGTAAGCTGGCACACAAACATAACATGTGCGGTTAACTGATGGGAAAAGCTTAAACACGTCGGTAAAACTATGCTACAACCATGTCTCAGAAGAACAAATTTCCTATAAGAGCAAAGTTTAATACAAGTGTGCTGCCTGTGTCATTATTAAGACAAATCCATATGGCAGCCTGACATTATATATTGTCAATAAATAGGTTTAAATAGGTTGCAATTTAGATCTTGCATCATATGCTGTCTTTTATTGATTTTTAAATGCTCAGAAATATGTTTGTCACTGTTTTGCATTTGAATAGTGATATTAAAGCACCAAGATGACAGTGTAGGGCTGAGCTAAAAAGGAAAGAATGTAAAGGAGAGAGAGGGAAAAAAAAAAAAAAGTTGCAGGGGGGCTGACCAGGAGCGGAGTTGTTTGTGAAGACCCTGGGCGAGAAGTGACCAGACTACCTGACTTCCTCTGCAGAGTGACAAACGACAAAGACTAACAAGGTGATCCTGTTTCCTATCCACAATCACATTTCAATAATATTGTTCAATAAATGATTCTTGGCACTGCAGTAATTTTCCCTGTGCATTGATTTTACCCAGTACACAAGTGAAATATAAAGTAGATGAGCAATAGCACAAATCTAAATAGGCAGTAAAATCACAAATCTAAGGCACTTTAAAGCAGCAAATAAAAATATAACAAGAACACAATATAATGCAGAGAGATTATATACTACGTGGGAGCCGTGGAGTGTAAATACTCAGCAGTGAGTGTGCAATTGTGCATGTGCAAAATAAGTACCGTACTTTCCAGACTATAAGCCGCTACTTTTGTCGTTTCATGCCCACACCCTCATCATGGACAACACACGATGAAATGCATATGATGCAGCTTTCAAGTTACAGGTGATCGATCTGGCTGTCGAAATATCTCATGTTACAACGTGGACACCTGCGGTTATGTACAAAATGTTTTTTCGTCTTACATTTATAGTGGGTGCAGCTTATAGTCCAGAAATTATGGTATGTAAACAGTACAGATGGAATTACATGAGTTAGATCCTGAGTCAGCTGTTTAGGAGTCTGATGGCAGTCGGAAAGAAAGAGTGAGCCTCCGACCAGAGGGTAGGGGTATAAACAGTCTGTGCTGGGGGTGGGTGGGGTCCTTGAGGATGGAGGCAGCTTTCCTAGGTAGGTAGGTAGGTAGGTAGGTACTTTATTGATCCCACAGTGGGGAAATTTCTGTGTTACAGCAGCAATAGAGAACAACCAACATAACACCATAAGAACAAACACCACCATAAGAACAGACACTTAAGAACAGAACTTCATAGAAACACAGGAAAAAACACAACGAGGACACAGCTGCTGTAACTTGCTGCCACTCCGCGCGCCACATGCGTACGTCAGTAGTAGTAACAAAGAACACTTAGTCTTAAAATAAAAAGTTACATAAAGGCAACAAAGCATTAGAACCGATACACACAAGGACTATAAAAGTAGCGTCATCAGAACGTTACATTTTACACAGCACAAATAAGCAAATCAAAGGCACCTAAAAACAGGGCAAAGCAGCACTGGAGAGAATCAGGAACAGCAGTAGAGGCTAAACAACCAGGAAATCAAGAACAATCAAATATTACTCACATAATTGATCCCACATTGGGAGAAAGAAACCTGTGTTTCAGCCATAAGGATCTCTGAGCAACTACTCAAAAATACCTAAAGCAGGGCAATGTACAGTATTTGAAAGAGATCAGGAACAAGATATTACATGAGCCTATTTACAATGCATTTCACCCCCAGGAGCTGAAATATTGCACCACAGTAGATTATTGCATGAAATATTGCACCACAGTGGATTATTACATAGTCCCTCATAATTTCACCTA